GAGGAGACCTGATCTGCCTGAAATCATGTCCCTAAACCTTCCCTTTGCACTGCAGGAACATGATGAAGGTGGTTGGGTTTATTTTGTTAAAGTTCTACAAAGAAACATTCACATTAGAAATACACAAGAAGTATATTGTGTAGCTGGCACAAGAAGCCGAACAACTATCTGTAGGTTGTGTGCTACATTTAAATAAAAAACAATAACCTTCGAAGGAATAAATAATAGAAGCATCTGGTTCTGGCAGCCATCTTACTGTGAGCAGCATTTTGTGCTTTTAAGGCTTAAACTTGGCATCAGATGTTACCCGTGAAAACATGATGCTGTTTTTTTCTGCTAATGACGCTGAAACTGAGTTGTAATTGCAACCTGAGTACTAATGACGAAGTTAAATTTACTTCCAGCGTCAGGCCTTTTCCTTCCTCTCGCGTTTTTGCAGAAGAAATAAATCACTTCCGGTGTGACCGAGGGTTGGCAAATGTAGCAGGGGAACCTTCGGGTTTTGTTGTTTTTTTTTTTTAAAGTCTGTTCTCCCTTAAAATTTGAATTAAAACGTAACAGAACGTGTTTATTTGGAAAATGTTTAATTTTCTGTAATTACGGCAGTAGTTGTTTAAACGGCAAAATAAAGATAAGGAAATAACTGCCCCATGGAACGAGGATGGTGATTTGCCAGTAAATGTCAGGAAAACGTCTGTGCTGGCTCAGAGCCCACCTGCCTCACCAGTTCAGGCAGTGTCTTGCTGTGTGTTGCACTGCAGTTGGAAAGAACACGTGATTAAAAGAGGAAGAAACTGAGGAATTATGAAACTTTAAAGTATGTTGTTAGTGGATTATAAGACTTTTTAAAGGATACAAATTCTATCAGAAGTGCAGAAAACAGAGTCTGGGGTCCAGCCTTCAGTGTGTGCTTGTGTGTTTTGCAGTCAACCAGGTTTAAACACTTTTCTAATTTTCCAACAGAAGTCAGACTGGAGGTCTGGGTGAAGTTTGTTGGTAGGATAAGAGCCATCACCCCAGGGGTATGTTGGGACATGGAAGCAAAGGGGAAACAGGAACAGCAATAAGGGCTGTGCAGAAGGACATGCTCCTCCTTGTCAGGCTGGGTGTGTGTGTAACCAGTCCCTGGGTCACATCTTACTCATCCTGCATTATTTATCATACGTGATGTGCACCCTCAGCCCGCTGGGGTGGGGGGAGAAGCACAACAGGCCTTGGTGCTGTGCAAGCACTGCTCAGCAATAACAGAATATCCCTCTGTTACCAACACAAACCCAACACACAGCTCGTGCTAGCCACTGAGAAGAAAATTAACCCAGCCAAACCCAGCACATTCTGTGGGCCTTTCTGACTTTTATTTTCCTTCTTTTATCTTTTGTTACCACAGAGCATGCAGACAGGCCGTGGTTCTCCCTCAAACACAGAGGAGGGAGGCAGAAGAGTTAACTCTTCTCTTGTAACCAAATGTTTTTATGCAGCAACTGCCACATTTCCGTTTGTGTGTGTTTGCTTGATAATACCTTGATGGCCTTGAAAGGAAGTTACTGAGTTCAGAGTCTCTGTTCTGCTGGTAATGAAAACCTTACACACTTAAGCCACATATTCCAAACAAGGTCTTGGGAAATTAGGAGTGTCTTAGTGACAGTAGAGAGTTTTAAATATCAAAACTTAAATTTCATATTGATGGTAAGACTTGCAGTTCAATATTGACCCTGTGGGAGAACACCAGTGCTGTTTGTGTAAGTTGTTAGTCACAGCTTCTCTCCTGGCATCATCTGTCAGCAGCTAAATGCAGTGAGATATTGGCATTTATATTTCCTACTTAAACTATATTAATAAGCCCTCAAGAAGAAGGAAATGTTCTCAGATTTTTAGATTAAAGCACTTCATTTGACATCTTGTTAGTGATAATGCAAATTACAGCAAGTTAGTAGTATTCAAAATTTAGTTACCAGCTCTTTTGTCCTGCTTTTTAACAGTGTGGGGTTGTCTGGGGGGTGGGTTTTTTAGGTTGATTGAATGGCATAGTATGCTTTCTAAGCAGCCTACAAGGAGGGCACTGTTGGTAGTTATTTTCCTGCTACATGTTGTGGAAAGGGCTGTGTTAAAATTAGTGATTGGTCCCCTGAAAATCCTCACCACTACCAGCTGCAGTGGCACTGCAGGATTCATTGCATTTGCTTTAAGTTTAGTAATACTCACTACTGGCCACTGTAAAGAGAAGCTGTGCTGTTATGACTGTAGAGAAAGCTGAAAAAATACCTTAATAAGAACGTGTGAGATCTCGAAACAACAATGAAACAGAAGAAAGGTGTGGACAGAAGCTCCCATCTCAGTCTGCACAGATGGATATTTCTCCTGTCAGTGAAGCTGAGTGGTGCCAGCCCTGTGGTCAGTGCTGGGTTGGTGCAGTGCTGTGTTGCTTTCAGCAGCAGTTGTGTCCCAGTGACAGGGGGTGTTTGCAGGGAGCTCTCAGGGTTTGTGGAGGGACATGAGTAGTGCACATGAACTCACTGTCATGAGCTCTGGGCTTGGACTGAGGTGAGCAGAAATGAACCTGTACACTGACTCACTTTGTCCTTAATAAACTGGTAGTTTATCTACGTCAGTCTTGATGCTATTAATAGAAACAACTTCCTGAAATTTGGCACCATTTATAGTTTTGTAAATGTTTAAGCTCCACGTTTCCAGAAATCAGTGCTAGGATAGTCTGTTAGTCTCCCTTTGCTGTTCATGACAAAGCTGGAGCTCATTATTTTCCATCTCCTGGGTAGTTTTGCCAGGCCAAGAACAAATACTGGATACACATTGTCTTGTAGGAGTTGTGCATCCCGAAAAGGCTGTGCCACAGGAGCACACACACTCGGTGACTCGCTGCACTGGATCTCTCCAGCTGTTTAATTAAAGCAGGCTGGTGAATAAAGGCTCTGTGCAGGCATCCTTCCCTCCCCTCTGCCCCAGTTGTTGCAAGAAAGGTGTTGAAACACTTCTAGAATATTTCGTAGCAGTTTACCTGATGTGTAAACAATGTAAAAGTTGACACGACCAGTTGCGAAGGTACAAAGCATGAAATTCCACGTGAGGAACACGTGTTCCAGCTATGCAAGGAAGTAATTTTCAATGGGTCACTGGCCTCGGAGGCACAAATTTCTGATGTGTGGAATGCCAAATGAAGATTTCTGTTTTGTTTTTATATGAGATCACACAAACTTCAGGGACACTTCCAACGGGGGATTTTGATGCCTGTGATGCAAACAGACCTCTTTCAAAGAGTAATATTAAAAGAAAAAAAAATAAAAAGTTAGGAGGAAACCATAGAAGAAAAAAATCAACTTGAATTATTTCCTTAGCATTGCAGTTTCTTCTATACATATTATGACTCACTTTGTGTCCAGTAGAAGCAGCAGAATAAAAACATGGGTCTGAAAGTATTGCAGGGAAAATAAATTACCAGTGACTCATAACTGCACCAGTTACATGTGATGGAGGGCTGGGAGGGGCAAAGAATTGCACTTTTTTCCACTTGCATCCGTTTTCAGTCATTAGTCCTGCAGAAAGAAGCAAAAAATCATCATGTATCCTGTCTGTTTACAGAAATAGGGACCTATAAATAGTTGCTGGAGGAAAAAGTAGGGAAGCAAGAAAAGAGAAAGGAGGGGCTGTGTCCTTATAGGAGGAATGAGAGGAAATAAGTGTTGATAGTTGCAGAGCAGTGTCTGAGCATGGGGCAGAACTTGATCACAGTAGTCTGTGCACAGAAGCATTTTTGGATCACTTTGAAGGCACCATTTGAAGGCAAACAGGCAACTTGTATTGGTGTCTTCTGGATTTCCTTGCTGACCAAGGAGTGACTCTTGCACTGGTCCCCAGTCTCCTGTTCACTGTTCTCAGGGGCAAACTCTACAAATTTGGTTTTGGTTTTGGGGAGTGGGAAGGCACAGGCATTGGGTTGTTTGCCTGCTTTTTGTTTTAACATCGTTCACTCCATTCAGCCTCTGCTAAAATCATTGAAGGTGGAAGTGGGAGTCCTTAAAAAATAGATTAAGTCATGGTCTTGACCTGTTTGAAGTTACATTGTCATTATAGACCCAAATGTTTCAGGACTTCTGGACAACAGCAACAGTATCTTACCATGTAACTTTGTCCATTAGACCAGGAGAAAACAGTCTATTTTTGGTCCTGTTATTCAACAAATGTATTGTCATGTTTATTAATATTACTGAAGAATGTATTGAGGCTCAAGTACAAATATTTCAGTTAATCAGAAAGAACATTTGGACATTACCCCTAAAGACAACCAGGTTCCTGCCTCCCTTTTTTTATTTTAATTAGAACTATTAAACAAGTGGTTGTTCATAAGAATGGAATGGAGCAACCCCTGATTTACCCCACAGTTTTAGGCACCAACCAGCAGAATATCTCCCCCCTTGTATAAATGTAATTACACTGGATGGTTTGCAGTGCACTTGAGCAAAGTGCCAGGCACACAAATGTTTGTCCTGGGCTAATTAAACTACACCAGAGGTAGTTTGGGCAAGAGTGAGAAGACTGTAATTATCCCAGAGACTTTAGCAGAACATTTAAGTATTGATCAGTTGGTACTTTTACTTACTTTCTTAAATGAAAAGAAAAACATCTTTGCCTCTACTGTATTGTTGAGAAGGAAATACAAGACACAGGCTTTCTTGCAAATCCAGGGTGTCTGAAAGCACAAAAGAAACATCCAAAAAGCTGTGTAGCATAATTGTAAGAAAATCTCTCTCAAATATAGGTGCTCCTTTAGAAATGGTGTGTGAGTTTGGACTGTAACTGCAAGGAAATCTGTACACAGATTGCCAGTTTGGTTGCTGAACTGTTTGGTTGTGATTTGGCTGATTGCTGAGAGGTGTTTTTAAAACTCACTGTGTTCTTGAGCGCTTTTGCTGTTGGAAATCATCCAGCCTAATTGCCTCCCCTCTCCCCTTCCCTTCTGTCTTGCAGCAAACGAGGATTCAGCGTTCGCTCCTTTGGCACGGGGACTCACGTGAAACTGCCAGGACCGGCCCCGGACAAGCCAAATGTTTATGACTTCAAAACAACATATGATCAGATGTACAATGATCTGCTTAGGAAAGACAAAGAACTGTATCCCTGTTGGCGTGGCCTCTTTAAAAAATCCAGTGTGGTTCATCCTTGAAAGGTGTAATTCATTACTTGGCATTGTGCATTAGGAACAGAGAGTTGCTTGACTGGCGAACTTAAAATGATTGCAGTTTATAGGTTTTTTGTTTTTTTTTTTACAGTGGGCCTCTAATGCTCCCTTGTAAATTGCTGAGTTACAATGCACACACCCCAAATGCTCTTTTGTAGTGTGTTAACATGTTTAGCTCTTGAATGAAAGCACATCAGTACTCACAGATTGTCCATTGCCTGCTCTGCACTGTGGATCACAGGCTCTCAGTGCAAAGACTGTCCTGATAATGGATCTGGGAAGAGCGACCACCTCGACATTAATGTTGTATTTAGCTCAGACAAACTGCCAGGTAAGGTTTACAGATACTTTCTCTGGGAGAGAGGATACCTTTCATTAAAGAGCTCACCCTTCTCACTGAGGATTTCGTGGTACGTGATCTGTGCACCAAGAAAAAAATAACCCTATAGTGTATTATAAAGAATGGACATAGGAGAGCCCAATAACATATTTAATCCTGGAGAGCAGAGGTGATCAGGGTTAGGCACACTGCTAAAAACCATGACTAATGTCAAACTGCATGATTTAAAAATATCTATATTTAAAGTTGATTTTTTTTTTTTTTAGGAAAACCCACAAACCTACAAAATTGGGGCACTCACTCTAGATACTCTTTTTTTTCCAACAAAGATTTTTTTTTTTTTTTTAAAAATTCAAAATGTAGGATATAGTCTTACTGTATCACATGTGATGTGCTGGTTTATTTGTTGGTGTTTTTTTTTTTAATCCCTCCACCTATAGAGAAAAAGGCAAATCTTGCAAACCCAACATAATGAGGTATGTCATATCCATATCTTGATTAAAAGAACTGCTTCAAAAGAAAATAACTTGAATTGAGAATTAATTTTAACAAGCACTAGTGACTTGTGATTTCCTTTTTGCATCCTTCATTGCTGCTGTACTGAGTATGGCAGTACTTAAAAAAAAAACCCCAAACAACAGAAAGCCTGCCCAGCCCCCCCGTTCAGCATGTTTAGGAGTTGCCATCGTGGTTCTGCTCCATGCTGGACACGGTTGCTGTGTTCCCCAAATGTACCTGCAGTGTCACAGTCAAACCTTTTCTCAGGATGAAGGAAAGCAGGTTTAAACAACAGCCATTTCAAGGGAAATAGGGCAGGAGCAATTGCCTCTGTGACTTTGCTTTTTTGATTCTCGGCTGATTTGAGGTTTTCAGACTGAAGACTCAGCACAGAAATCAACTCCATTCCCAGAAATGGGTTTTGAGGGTAAAGACTTTAACCAAAAGCAGACCTACTCTCATCAGCGAGGTGTGGAATAGGTTTTTTGTGAACCAGGGTCCCAGGGACCTCAGTCCTTTTGGGTGAGCCTTAATTCCTAGGGGTGGTGGGCATGGGGACATGGCCTGTGTGGGGGGAGGGCCTGCTCTTCTCCTGGGCTTGGATTGGGGTGGGGAAACCAAAGGAGCTGTGTTTCCATATGATTGAGCTGCTTGTTCTGTTCCCCAGCCTTGCTTTCATCAGCTCAGTGGACATGACTCTCGCCTGTAGCCTTTCCCTGTGCTCTGAAATGGTGTGTCCTGGGGCCATTCCCATATGGCAGCGAGGAGCCACGGGCAGTGTGAGGGCTCAGCATCCAGTTCTGCCTCGCTGGGGAGTGATCTCCATCCAGTCCCACGTGCCAGCAGGGATCCCAGGCACTGTGCACACCAGATACTCAGTGAAATTGTGGCCGTAAGGGACATGGAACATTCCCTGCCCAAAGAAATGTCCCCAAGTTCAGAAAGCAGTGATTTCAAACAGCAAAGAGCTGCTGCAGTGTTGGACCTCCCTCAGAGCAAGGTTAAAACTGTGTTAGAGAGAAGATCCACTGAACCTCTCCTGTTCACTTGTGAAAAGGGGGGACAACTATTAAAAACCCACTCTACAGAGACTAAAAGCACCTTCATTATAGTTAATTAGTGAAATATAGAGCACAGGCTCACATACCTTGAAGGCATATGTTGCATTTAAGAAGCACAGGAATAAGAGATTTGGTTGAGTAGGTGGTTACAGTGTGTCTAAAATGGAAGTACTTCAAAGCCTTTTAAGATGTGGTAGTTAAAACTTATAGTTAAAATAAGTACCCACATCCCCCATTGCATTTGGAGAATATAGCATTTAAATTCCCTGAGCCCTAATAGAGGGCTGTGACAAAACCATTTAAAGCTGTTCTGAATGTGGCTTTTGGTTGCTTTTTTAAAATATTCCTCTATTATTTCTAGGACAACAGTAGAGGAAGATTCTGCTGCTAATCTGGAGGAGACATGGCCAGACAGCACCTCTGGGGCTGTGTGTGTAGTACAGATACACCACCTTGTACTTGCATGTGTGATCCACCTTTCCAAGATCATGATTGCTTGCCCCTTACAACTGTGTGAGGGGGTTTGAGGACTCAGTTCTAATTATATGGTGGTGACTTTAAAGATGAAGCAAAAATAGAGCAAAACTGGTGAGCCCTGCCTTCAAGTGAACTCAAAAATTAGTCAGGGATGAAACTTGCTGAACACCAGTTTAAATCTTCATCAGCAGGGGCTTTTATGCCCAGGGATAGGAACTGTTCAAATGGAAATTTGACCAAAATTTTGCAGCAGTAGCTCCTGGGTCCTTTATCAATGCTGACTAACTCCTTTTCTCAACACTGGTGTATCTGTGACCCTCACATTAAAGATGCCTAATGATTTCCATAGATAGGTGGGCATTTTTAATTAGGATTTCTAGGCAGCCTGCATCTAACCTGCAAACCTGGCCTCTTGCTCTCTTCCCTGTGTTTTACCTCCTCTTTTAATGTGACCTGCTCTGTAACTGTAGATAGGATTCCAGTTTTAGCTCCACAGTTACATGAGGATATAAAATTGAGGGGAGGGTGGAAAAGGTGTCCTCAAGATGTTCCTAAAGGTGTGCTTGTTAGGAGGAAAATTTCAGAAGTGAAGAAGAAAAACTGGCTTGGTACATCTCACTTGAAGACATACTGATTCTTTTCTGTCAAAAAAAAAAAGGTAGTGATAATCTTGGTGATTGGGATCTGGTTCTTCTCTGTGAACTCCATGTTGAAGCTGGATGCCCATGTGGTATTGCCTTGTAGCTCAGTCTTGAGCAGTAACTTATTTAATTCAACTTCAGGTAAGCTCTTCATGCATGTATTTGTCTTACATTTTATCAGGTTTTCTCATGGATTTTGAGCTGATAAGCAGTTGTCAGCTTCTGTTCTGAGCTGTCATTGCAGTGGTCAGCAGGATAGCTTCTGTGTCTGGAGACCACTCTGGGATGGTTTATTTTAGGTATGTTTAGGGTTGGGGTTTGTTTTTTTTTTTTTAGGTTGGGCTTGGTTTTTTTCTTCTCTGTTTTTTTTTGAAGCCTGACCTTCCAAGAGCTAAAAATAGTTGAAGTCATGGCCTACCTGTCAGTGGCAAAATTCTTCCAAAGGCAGTGCAGTACAAGTCTCATTTTCTTCCTTAACATACCTTTCAAAGTACTTCAGTGCTCCTAGAAACAGAAGCAGTGATTAAACTGGATTTGAACAGGCTTCTAAGAGGCACATTTGTGTGAATCAATATGCTTCCAGCCATAGCTGAATTCCAATCCCTTTTTCTCCATGAAGGATCATAAGACCAACACACTTCACAAAGTCCCAGGCCTTTCAAACGCAGCATTTTTCAGTACTTTTTAGTCTGACTTCTGATCAGGATGCCTTTAATCTTGGCTTCATTTACATTAAAAAGGAAAGATATAAAATTATTAAAAATATATAAACCAGAAATATTAAAATGTTATTTCCCCTGTGTTTGAACTTAGGGACACAGTAGAAACTGCAGACTCCAATCTAATCTTAAATGCTTTTCAGCATCTAAAACATCTCTGCCATCCTGTCAGTCTGCCAGCTAGTCTTTGGAAGGTTTATTTCCTTAGCCAAGGTGAGTCCTGAACAGATGTTCTAAGGAATTCTGACTGCAGGATCCTATCTGAGGCTGAGGACTCTTGTAAAATCCATTTAGAATTGGAATGATTTCATTTATTGGCCCAGGTTTGGCAGTTTCATCCTGACTTGAAGGAGGGGAGCGTTGAAGACTTTACCTCCTATTAACACAAAACTTCTGTGCCAGCATAAGGGATGCTTATACCTTCTTTTCCTTACAATAATTCCAAATCCATTTTCATGGTAGTGACTGTAATTTCTTAAACTGGCATTAATTTTAAGTCAGTGTTGCACTGAGGACTGTTTCCTGCAGACTCATCCAGCGTGTTGCTTCCCCTGCGTGCTGCTGTCCCACAGTGGCCCTGCTGTCTTTGTGATTGTGTTCTCAGGTTTCCCAGATGCCTTAAATGAAATGGCTTAATTGATTTAGGGTTTGTAATGCTTGGGGTTTGCTTTATCTGAGGTTCCCTCTCCGGCTCTAACTCCAGGTAGCTGAAAATTACCTTTGAGTTTCACAGCACAAAGCAGTGAGAGCAGCAGAAGGCAATTTGAGAAGGGCTGTTGCAGCCCCTGCTTCCCTGAGATGTTAAATGGGGTGACTCTTTCTCTCTCACAGACCTCTCTCTCTCCTCACAGCTTCCTCAAAGCTCTTCTTCCCCCTCAGCCCAGTCCTGCAACATTTGCTGCTCATCCTCTGGAACCTGGCAGTGGTTTCCAAACCTGAGAAGAGCATCTAAAAGTCATGGGTGACACTTCTGAGCTTTCTTGCCCAGTGGTCCTGACAGTGACTGTTGTATTCCTTTTTACATGTCCCTGTCACTTACTGAACTTGGCAGTAGTTTGAGCCAAGTGATCAAACACTGGAAATTCCAGCAATCCAAACTCCTCTTGAAGTTCACACTTGGCTGAAGTGCAGCTGTTGGATGATGTGGGCAGACATGCCACACATCTTCAAAGTCATCTTGTGGTCTGGCTCTGGTATCCTTATCTTCCTTTAGTCTCTTCAGTATATCTGTGCCGTCTCTTCTCCAGGTCTTTGGTTTTCCCATTGCTCCATTTCTTTTCTCCTTTGACAACTTGTTTCTCTCCAGTTTCATCCCCAAATACTGTTTCAGCTGTTCAGCACCAACAAGTCACTGGCATTTGAGCTCTGGGCTTAAACTTAAGATGTTTCCTGCTTCTGCTGATGTTTGGGTAGGTACCCTCAGCTTTGGGGCTCAGCCAGGCTTGAGGGAGTGAGCAGGGCTGGCATGTGGTTATATTTGGACCAGCTGCTTTGTGCAGGCTCAGCTGGACTTCTTGGTGCAGTTTGTAGCTTAAAAATCCCAGGTAGTTGTCCTTCACGAGGAAAAACAAGTTCAGTTCTTTGCAGGTCATTAATGCAGGCACAGATGTTACCAGAAATGTTACTTAACCCAGCTTAGTATGTTTGTTATGGTTTGGAATGGCCTATTTTAGAATCAAAGAATCACAGAACGGTTTGGGTTGGAAGGGACCTTCCACCCCCTGCCATGGGCAGGGACACCTTCCACTGTCCCAGGTTGCTCCAGCCTGGCCTTGGACCCTTCCAGGGCTGGGGCAGCCACAGCTTCTCTGGGCAACCTGTGCCAGGGCCTCCCCACCCTCACAGGGAACAATTTCTCCCCAGTGTTCATCTAAACCTACTCTCTTTTCATTTTGAATCCAGTAGAATCATAGAATGGTTCAGTGTTTAGACTTTAGAGTACCATGAAAGACTTGTGACCAAACTGGTTTGTACTAAACCCAACCCAATTTCAGTTCAAGTGAAAGGCAGTTTGTGCTCTGGCTGTGGAGTGAAGGCAGTTCTTGCAGCTGTAATCACCGAGCTTGGAAAGTAGATTTGTAGTGCCCAGGCCCATTTTCAGGCTTTCATTCCCTGTAAAAGGAGCTGATGCTGAAGGTGGAAGAAGGTTGGGCAGCCTCACCCCCCCACACACATCCTTTAAGGAAATATCTACTTCTTAGACAAATTACCAAGCAGGGTTTAACACAATGTGAGTTGTTTGTAATGCAGGTAGTAATAAATAAATTTAGATGGTGTAGAAAAGAGACCTGCAAATGGAGGTGTGAGAAGCATTCTGTTCCGCTGCTGGTTTTCCCAAAGAACAGCAGTGTTTGAATATGGTGGCACCTGCACCACAGGGAATAATCAGCATGTCAGATTTGTTTGAAGATGTAGAAACTTTGGGTGCCAACCATTAATTTAAAGATTCCCCCCACACACACACTAAAAAGTATGTATACATTTTAGCAAATGCTCTTTGCCCAATTAGATCCTCTTGGGAGGATCTGCTGAAGAAGTGGCTGCTGAAGAGAAAGAGCAGAGATGCACAGGATAGGGAGCATGGGGTTAAAATCTGTTGGAAGGAAAGCAGAGCCTGACTTCAGTGATTCCACATCTGGCAGTGTAGTGAAAACCATTAATGAGTTGTAGGATCTGCATTCACCTGAGCTCACAGAGAGGAAGAAGCTGGATTGTGATCATGCATTGGGGGCAGTCATGGAGAGCACATCCCCCTGCCTGCTGGGGGGTGCTGTGCTCCTTTCTGCCAGGTGAAAAAGATTTCAGGCAACCAAATATGAAAGTGTCATGAATCTTTAACTGCTTATTTCAGTCTCCTTTTATAGGCAGATGGACCCTTGGAGGAGAAAAAAAAAATAGCTGTAAGTTGGCAGCAGAAAGCTCGGCTGTGAGGCAGAAAGCTTGTGTGGGTTTTTGGAATATGCGTAATTCTGTCTCCAGGCTCAGTCAGGAAAGCTAGGGGACAGATGCCAGCAACATTTTATCCTAGAAAGGGAAAAAAGAGAACCCAAAAAAGTGTGTGGGATGTTGTGGATTTTTTTTTTTTCCCCTTGAACTGCATGATGTAGAAACGAGGACTACAGAGCCCGGAAAGGGCTCCCCTTCCAACAGAACAAAGCAGCACAGCCAGGTGTTGACAGGTATTTTGAAAATGGTATTTTGAAAATGCAGTCATTTTCAAAATGCTCTAGAAATAACCAGAGGTCTGAAATGGCTTCATCAAAGTGTTTGTTGTTTTTTTTTTTTTTCCAAGCATGACAAACCCAAGGAGAGTTTACAGAGGTGCTGAGAGGAAGAAGTGGGTGCTGGTGTGCAGGAGCTGCTTGTGAGAGACCTTTGGGCTATGAAGGACAATTCTTTAATAATATAAGGAGAAATCTTTTGGGAAAGAAGAGTGGTAAAAAGCTTGGGAGCGACCTGGAGAAAAGAAATGTGGTCCAAGTCAGTTGACTGAGAGAGAGAATTTACTACATATATCTGTGATAAATAGCTTATCATTCCATTTGTGGTGCAGAATTCTGAAGTAGTTGAAGTGCAGTGGTGCAGACACAAAAGAACCGAGTATATTTTCAACATAAAGTAGATCTAATAGGTAGAAAGATGGGTTCAGTTCTTGATAGAGCTTAAACACTTGAAAGATTTAAAAGCTTTGGAGGCTTTTTGCTTGAAGACTGTTCGAGAACACCTTGGAGCACATGGTGCACATCTGGCTACCAAGGGGGAGTAGAACTTGGGCTACCAGAGGGCAGCTGCAAAAAGGTAGGCAGAAAGTTGTTGGTCTTTTGTTACAAAAATATTAGGACTGTTCTCTGAAAAGAAATACATTTATGTGACCTTTTCAGCAAGGAAATAAGCCAAGATGACCCCTCACATACTGCTACTAATGATTTTTTTTTTCTCAGAATCCTGTTACCTCAAGAAATTATAGGCTGCTGTTTGAATGTAAAAATACCTACTTAGATGGCTAAAAATACAGCAGTGTCAAAGTAAGGAAGAGGTGCATCTGCCTCCAGGCTTTCTCCACTCAAACCTTTCCTGGCATTCCTGATTTGCCCATAAAGCTTGGCTTTCAGAGGGAGTTTGGTTTTACTCAAGCGAGTAGATTCGTGTGACAGTCAACCCTGGAGTGCTCCTGATGGAACTGTGTGTCCCAGAAGGCTCAGGAAACAGTGGGATTGGTGAATCCTGCCTGAAAGGGGGATGCAGGATGTTAAACCTCAAGGTTACAGTAGCAGCACAAATATAGCTCCCAGGCAGCATAACAGATTCCTTTCACACGGTGATGAGGCTCTGACAGGCATAAAGTCAGTGTTTTTCTTATTCCCTAAATGGGAATGTATCTTGGGATATTTTTAAGGGATATGCTTCTGTTATTTCCTTGACTTTCTTTGGGAGTTCAGTTGCATAAACCCAAGGCCCAGGTGGGGCTTTGTACAGGTGACACCACAAACACCCTGGAATTGCCTTTGAAGAGGGAGGCCCCTGGAGTGAATGTAGGACATTCTGCTTATGCAAACAGAGCAGGCTGTGTGTTCTAAACATTATGGATATAAAAATAGTTGCCCAAGAAAAGTTGTCCTTCTGAGCTCTTCTGAGGGCCTCCTAAAGCTCCTAAAGTCCTGCCATTGCACTGGTGACAGTGGCAGGTCTCTGCATGAATTACCCTGATGGGGGTCACACTGTCGTCTTGGGAGTCTCTTTAATGGTCATTGAACTTTATATTTGCAAACAGAAAGAATCTTATTTTAAAGATACTGTAATAATTTAACTTGTACTGGTCATTTGCTCAAAAACGTGACTTGTCTTAAAGTGAAGGTACTTAACTCAAGCGACTTCAGATACACACAGAATGGGATTTTACACATGTTGGACAGAAATAAGAGAATCAAGCCACGACCAGAGAGATTCCAGAACTGCAAAGATGTTTTTGATCTGATCCTAACGTGTGAAGAAAGAGTCTATGATCAAGTAGTAGAAGGTAAGGACCTTGAACTGATAAACCAAGTTAACTTTGGGTGCTTCCCCCCCCCTCCTCCCTGAAGTCCTTCACAAATCTGGAACCACCTCTGTCTCCTCCAACTACTGCTGCTGGAACACGAGTGGGGACAAGAGCTTGCAGTCATTGATGCAGACTTTGTGTACCAGAGCTGGGATGGCTGAGCACTTGTTTCTGAAAGATGTTGGCAGCTACAGGGAGAGTGTATATTTAGCAATATTAAGGGCTGACATAAGGAAATTTGTAGAAACTCAGGTAACACGTTTGGTTTGGAAATGCCCATGGATCTCAGAAACCAGCAAGTTGTATGAGATGAGCATTTTTCCACCCTGGGTTGATGGAGCAGCAAAGCCTTAAGATCTCTTCCTTATGCAACTTCCCTTCCCTGCAGAAGGCTTCCTGTGACCTACTGAGCAGTTTATCCACATTAAATACCTCTTGTACAGGTGGAGAAGCTGTTCCTGAGTGCTGTTAACACTGTGCAAACGTGACATGGCTTTGCCTTGCATGAGTCAAAGTGAGATGTGCCAGAGGCATGTGTGCTGGGGGTTGGGTGCCACATGATCTCAGTGCACAGGCTCCGTGTGAACTCACCCAAAACCTTGGGCTCTCAGCAGTGACTCAGTTCCTGGGCTGAGAAACCTTGTCTGCCTCTGGAAATGCTGGATACAGGATTTAAGGGGTTCCTTTCACACTGAAAGACCAGCCAGCTCAATTAGTATCATACACACAACTTAGAGGGCTGTCACCTTGGCTTTTCCATCCTCAGTGGTCACATCCCAGGCAGTGCAGGGCACATTTGGGCTCCTGCAAAGCGAGCAGTCAGCGTTCTGAATGCTTAAGGGAAGGGCTGAAATGTGTGAGTAAGTTCTGAGGGCAGCTCTGGCACTTGAGGGGGCCTTCAGCAAGTGCAGCGTGTCTCACGTAGAAAGCAGCTCTCCCTCTGATGTTTTAGGTGAGTCTCCTGAGGAAGGGAGGGGAAGATCAACCCCTTGCTGGTTTTCCAGTTGTGCATCTCTCTCCCTTCATGGTAATAATGCCCTTCACAATCAGCCCAAATGGCTCTGGGTGTGAAACCCATGGGGACCTCAACGGGTTTGCCAAAATGAAGGTGCAGGATGAGGATGGGAGAGAACTTTTATGTCTAGTAGGAAGGGTGTTAGAGAGGCACAGCAATAGTACAGGGGCCCACTAGTAGGAAAAGGATGGAGGTTTTTTTTCCCCTCCACCCCTTGTTAATAAGTGGACACATTAAAGCTAGGATTTTTTAATGTGACTGTCAGTGCTTGGCTTGTAGGAGTTCACCTTGCAGTGTCACATTCAGAGTGTTGGATGAACAGTGCTTTTTTTTTAAAAAGGAGCAATTAAAACCCTCCAGGTGAGGAAGCCCAAAATCCTTCTTGATTTTTGAGACTCCTGATCGTGGTCTTTAAAGAGTAAAGTGAGCAGTAACCTTCCTTGAGCAGGGCAAATAAACTGTCGTGACCCTTCCACAAATCTGAATTATTCTGTGTCCAAAATCCGTTTCTTGTTTTTGAAATGAAAGGGACAATATGTAAGACAATGTTAAATAAAAAAATATTCTAAAAACTGGTTTGGGAAAGACTGATGTGACAGTGCCTATGCATTTTTAAAAGCCTTGTTAATACTTTGTGTGTAAAACATGATACAGTTCCACCCCGAGTTTTGCTGTTACGTGTGTTTTGTTTTCAAATAGATTTAAATTCCAGAGAGCAGGAGACGTGTCAGCCAGTCCATGTGATCAATGTGGACATTCAGGATAACCACGAGGAGGCCACTCTGGGTGCTTTCCTTATCTGTGAGCTCTGCCAGTGTGTAAGTAGAGAGGGCTCTTTGCCTGGGGGTGCCTGGGACTGCACAGGGGGCTGGGCTTTGCTTAGTGCTCCTGAAAGGTGCTGCATATTGCAGAAGTGGGGTCAGTAAAATCCGTGTCAAGGATTGTAAGTTCCCAGATTCCCCTGGTTATTTTCAGAGCTCTTGGGCAAACAGATGAACTTAACCACGGGTTCGTGGTTTCCAAAGTGAAACAATTTGAATTAGGTGGGACTTAAACGTCAGAGTTGCATTCTGAATCCCAATATTCTTGAAAAAAATCCCTTTATGGGTGTGTTTCATAGCACCACAGGGCTGTGTGTGTGATGTGGAACAAAACACTGGTGCCCCAGCCCTTGGTGTAAGACTGAAATGAGCTGCACTCAGACAACAGAACTGAGAGCAGAGCAAGGACCTGTGTCCTTTTGCACTGCCCAGGTTGAGGAGTTCACCTATTCCAGGGTGGCAACAGGCTTTCTTTTTTTTAACTCCAACCAGTGTGGTCTATTTTGGTCTCAAATCCTTTCCAGATTCAAAAAGCCTAAGAGGGTTCAAGGACTTGAAATTTTAGCCATCTGTTCAGTGTGTGCCTGGAGCTATTCTGGAGGGTTCTAAGCTGGTGGGGAGGGATGTTGCCTACTCGACAAAGTGCTAGTGGAGTGCCAGTTGGGTGGGTTGGGGAAGGAAGGATCTGCAGATAAACATAAAGCAGAATATCTGTGCATTTGGGAGTGCTGGCAATGTCAATAAAGCACCCAAGGGCTGCACTGTCGGGCACAGCCTCTGCTGGGTTAGATTTCCCAGGGAGCCAAAAGCCTGGGATTATTACAGTTTTCTAAACAGCATCATATCCTTGGAGTGTGGTTGCTTAGTCTTTTTTCTCTTCTAGATACAGCACACAGAAGACATGGAAAATGAAATAGATGAGCTGTTACAGGAATTTGAAGAGAAAAGTGGAAGGACTTTTCTTCATACTGTCTGCTTTTATTAAAGCACATCTGTCTCTTAGGCCTTAATACAGATGAGGGAAGCATGTGTTTAAATTTCTGATTATACTGTATTTTCCTGGAAAATGAATATTGATCTTTTTTTGTTTGTTTGTTTGTTCGTTTGTTTGTTTAAAAACTCCTTTTCAGTGTCTTTTTGTTTCAGGTGTTCTGTCACAGGTAGGCAGAGGTACTGGTTGGGCTTGTACATATGAAATGATGAAAAGTATACACAAAGGCCACCTATTTAAAAATTAAATTCAAGTTCTTTTCTAAATCCTACTTTAATTATTACAAGTAGGTTTTTAATTATAAAGAGAATGTTTCTTGAATATAAGTTTATAATGTATTTTTCCAGCTTACAAATTTATTTTATTTCAGTTGTGCTTTT